GAGGGGACGGGGGGGGGGGGGGGGGGGGTGGGGGTACACGTCGTCCTGTACTATGATGAACCCGGCTTGCGAGCCAGTGAGAGAGGAAGCCTTTTTCTTTCCTACCCTATGGAGGGAGATAAAAGTTGATAATATGAAGAGTTTTCTTTCTTTTTCTTTATCTTTTTTTTTCTTTTCCCCTGACAGTCGATCCTCGAGGAATCGAAATTTGAAGGAGGAACTTTATCAGGTTCGGCAATTGAAGGTTAATGATATGGCGACGGTGATATGCTCTTCTCAGGGGGGTTGTGGGTCGATTGATAGACTGAGGGGGAGCCACGAAGGAATTGGGTTGAAGATCTCATTTCGGGTCTTGTACTATAATTATTATATCATATTAAACTATAATATAATGAGAGATGGGGAGAGGGGGGTTTTGCGTGTAACATTTTTTTCACGGAATTTTAAATCTGTTTCTTTGGCGTGACTATAGGTAGATGTTTTTCTACGGAGAGGTATAATGGATAGCATCTGTATGACGGGAGGAGGGGTGTGTGGAGGTTGAGAAGAGTGGTAAATTAGAAGTGGCTGTTGGGATATGCTTTCGAGGCTCGTAACTGCAGGAGGGTGAGCAGTAGAATCCGTGTGCCGTGGTCGATCGCTGCGGCAAACACCGATAAACGCGTTGCTGGACGACGCGTAGAAATGGGTATTGACCGAAGAAGTACCTCCGACACTTTAAACCTTTGCGGCTGGGTCACTTATCACCCCGCTCCGATAACTTACCCCTCCATCCTTATGCATATTCCCCCACCAGCTCACATAGAAAAAATGACTGGGAAATGTTTGCGGAATCGCAATAAACAGTCGATATTTGATTGAGAGAAACGTATAGGATATGCACTGCAGGGCCAGATGTCATTTTCTAAATCCGTATTCGATCCAAACCATCTCAAACAGTGCCGGTATCATACACCGGTAGCCTTTTTGTGACTGACTGGTGATTTGACCAGCAGAGAGTTGGTCTTGGCTCGCACCCCTCCGGAAGAAAAAAAAACCCCTTTCGTACAACGGGCTGTGGGGAGAGGTTAAATTTACTGTGAGTGGTGCAGCCGTGGTAACAGTAGTCCTTTTCCGTTTACCGTTTAAAAAAAAAAAAAAATCTTTTTAATCCCCTTCCCCCTTGCACCATTGTTCATTTACTACTGCCCACAAAAGCGGAAGAGCCCCCTCTAGGTTTTTCTACACATAACTACCCCACCTCCTCGCTTCAAAGGGTCATAAATATTGATCCCTATACTAGCACTGGTTCCGTCGCTCGGGGCTTCAAAAGGGCGAATACTAACGGCATTGGCCCGTTTCCTAGGAACATCTTTACTTGACAAGTTTTACAACCAATTGTTGCTCTACCGGGACGACGTGCACGACTACATTTTTTGCCGGATAGGGGCCAAGTATAGCAGAAATGGATGAACGTAGCTTCATTCAGCTCTTGGAGAATATCCTTACTCGTGCGTTCTCCTCCTTCCTACACACCCTGCCAGCCCTTCTTTGCTGAATTTTTTGCTCCGTTTGTGCAGCGGATACGAATATCGTCAAACACGCTACGGGAACTCTCCGCCGCGACTACTACTCGAAACCGGAATCCCTGCCCGCCCTTCTCCACCTCTTGCGGACCCATCTGAATCCTCAAATCCGTCAGCTCGCGGCTGTGGAGGCTCGAAACCTTGTTCCTAGATTTTGGGTAGCGAGGGACAATGGCCCTTCGCAGATTCCGGCGGAGCTCAGAATCCAACTGCGGGAGTCGATTCTTCAGTCCACACTTGAAGAGACAAACCCCTTGGTCAAACACTCCTCGGCTCGCGTTATATCTTCCATGGCTAAGATTGATTTGCCGGCCGGCGAATGGACGGATCTTCCGGGTTTTTTGGTACGGGCTGCCTCTTCCGACAGAGCGGAGAACCGCGAGGTTGGCGTCTACATACTGTTCACCCTAATTGAGTCCTTGGAGGAAGTGGTTGCGGACAAATGGCATGAATTCCTACCCCTATTTTCTCGGACCATCAACGACCAGGGAAGCATGGCTGTCCGTTTGAATACCTTACTGGCTCTTGGGAAGATGGCCGAATCCCTTAATTCCGAGAAGCATCCCGATGGCGTTACTGCATTCAAAGAGGTCCTTCCATCAATGGTTGCGGTTTTGAAAGAACTCGTTGATGCGGGGGATGAAGAGAAGGCTAACTCGGCCTTCGAAGTGTTTCAAACTTTGCTGATTGTCGACTCAAGCCTTATTTCGAGCCATTTCCGTGACTTGGTCCAGTTCTTCTCGGATTTGGCTTCTTCAACGAATGTGGATGACGATTTCCGCTCAAAGGCTGTGTCCTTCCTTATGTCCTGCTTGCGTTACAAGAAGATGAAGATGCAATCGTTGAAATTCGGCGAGCAGCTCACCCTACGCGCTCTCCAGATTGTGACGGAATTTAGGGACCTGGAAGATACTGATGAGGTGTCTCCTGCGAGGTCTGCGTTGGGGCTACTGGACTACCTTTCTGGCTCCCTCCCGCCAAGTCAGGTGGTGGTGCCGTTGCTTAATGTGCTTCCCCAGTATACTGGTAGTCAAGATCCGGAATATAGAAAGGCGGCGGTTCTGGCTTTGGGAATGTGCGTGGAAGGTGCCCCCGATTTCATTGCCACTCAGATTAGCACAATATTCCCCGTCGTCCTTCAACTTTTATCCGATCCCGAGGCTAGGGTCAGGCAGGCGGCATTGCATACGGTTGCGCAGTTGGCGGATGATCTTGCAGAAGATATGGGTAGGGAGCACTCGCGTTTGATCCCGGCCCTTATTAGACTACTCGATTCCCATGATGGATCGGACGCTTGGAAGGCAGCATGTCACGCTATCGATGCCGTGCTTGTCGGAATCGACAAGAAGGATGTTGAGGCCTACCTTCCCACCCTCATGCCGAGATTATCCGAGATGTTCCAGAGAGATGATCTGAAGTTGAAGGCTGCTGCTGTGGGAGGAATTGGTTCTACCGCACAGGCGGCTAAGGACAGTTTTTCACCTTATTTCCAGGCGACCATGGGTGCTCTGTTCCCCTACATTTTGGTAAAGGATTCAGAAGATGAGCTAGACTTGAGAGGCGTTGTCGTTGACGCTATGGGAAACATTGCGGAGGCTGTTGGGATGCAGGCCTTTACACCCTACGTTCAACCTTTGATGGAATCTACTATGGATGGTCTCAATCTGGGCCATCCCCGTTTGCGAGAAACCAGTTTTATGTTTTTTTCCATTATGGCTAGGGTTTACAGGGAGGAATTCACGCCTTTCCTTCCGAATGTCACCCAAGCTCTATTCCAGAGCCTGGAACAAACAGAAACTGATATTGATGTGGAGATCGGCGAACTCGCGAAAGATACCATAATAACAAGTGTTGGTGCTATGGGCACCCAAAAAGTCACTTTGGGGGAGGATATACGGGGTGAGATACAACCGATAGATATTGACGCGGATGATGAAGATGACGCTTTATGGGATGAGTTGAACGCTGTCAACGCAGTCGCTCTGGAGAAGGAAGTTGCAGCCGACGTTATCGGAGAAGTGCTCAGCAATTGCAAAGAAGGCTATCTTCAGTATTTGGAGAAGACTGTTGAGTTACTGGCCCTGAAAGCTCAACATCCGTACGAGGGTGTCCGAAAGGCAAGTATAAGCACGCTTTGGAGGTCTTACGCTACCCTTTGGCAAGTGATGCAAAATAGGGGAATGGGCAAGTGGCTTCCTGGATTGCCATTGAAGGTCCAGCCATCACCGGAGTTGGTGCGTCTCGGCAACGTTGTAATCAATTGCACGTTGGCTAATTGGAGCATCGAGACTGACAGGCAAGTTGTGATTCTCGTTTTGAAGTTTTTGTTTTTGGTTATACTATCTTTACCTTTTACTTATCGCTCTTGTGAAAAGATGGGTGTGCTTCGTTATACCCATCTTATCCAGATACCCAGGTGGCACGTGCTACAAGCGCGAATTCACCTCTGGCTTGTTACTTTCCTTTTCAAGAATTGGGACCCGCTGACCGTTTGGGAGTGTCTGCTAACGCTGGTTTTCGTATAACTAGATCTACTGTAACGGATATCTGCGTAAATGTCGCAGAGACACTTTCTCTTTGTGGGCCTGCCTTTTTAGTAGATGCTACCGGAACCATTATGACTGAGCTTGCAAGTCAGCTTGTTCTTATCTTGAGGAAGCAACATCCATCCCAACTCGGCGAGGAAGACGAAGAGTTTCCTGAGCTTTACGAATCTTCCGAATGTGATTGGATCCTGGTTGATAGTGCGATGGATGTGGCTCTTGGCCTTTCTAAAGCTCTTGGGACTCAGTTTGGGGAAATTTGGAAGTTGGTGGGAAATTTGCTCATAAAGTACGCCTCATCCTCGGAGGCGGTAGAGCGTTCGACAAGTGTGGGTGTTATTGCCGAATGTATCAAATACATGGAGGAGGGGTGTACACCATATACATCCGTAAGTTTGTCATCTTAGTGTTTTACCGAAATTGGTTATTGTTTGTTTCTTGGACCCTTTGCTGACTTGCTCCAGCAATTAATGAAAACTCTCCTTCACCGATTGTCGGACGAGGATCAAGAGACAAAATCAAACGCTGCGTTTGCTATGGGTATGCTTTGCATAAAGTCTCAGGCAGTGCAGGTTATTACCAGTAATTATGGTACCATTCTTCATAAATTGGAGCCCTTTTTGCAAGCGCAGAATCACCGGATGTTGGATAATGCCTGCGGCTGTATTGCTAGGATGATAATGGCACATCCTAATAGTGTTCCGCTTGGCGATGTTCTTCCCGCCCTTGCAGGACTTCTACCCCTTAAGGAGGATTATGAAGAGAACGAGCCAATTTATAAAATGCTTGTTCAACTCTGTTGGTTATCCCCTTTGTACCTTTAATCACTCTTTAATCACTCGTGTCACCTGTTATTAACATTTTCTTAGATAAAGACTCCAACCAAACTGCTTTCGGAATGACGCAGCAGTTTGTCCCAATAATCGCCGCCGTGCTCTCCCCACCGGAAGAACAATTAATGCTTCAAACCCGCGAAGAGCTTATTGGTCTTGTGCGATTCTTATTCAAGACCGAACCGGGTGTTATACAGGGCTACGATAACCTGATCTCGCTCGCCAATTAATTAAGGATAAAACCTTAGCTACACTTGATAGATTTCTGTTCCGTTTACAGCTCCTCTTTTTTATTTTTCTCTGGATAATCCTATTTGTGTTTTGTTTGGGGAATAGATCAAACGTTAGCGGGGAGGTTATTTGACCTGATTTTTTCGCTTTTTTCCTGTTAGCTGTCATAGCACCTGTTTGGTATGGGTTAAGGAGCGGACCGGTTTTGCTCATTCTGGGTTTTCTTCCATTCGCTTTCTTTCGGGTCGACAGATAAAAACTTTAGTACTATTGATAAAAAAGGTGGGCAATGGTATAGGGTTTAGAAGGGTTTATGGTCTGCTTTTCTTTGCTGTTAGCCTTCTGCAAATCTTGAAATATTGTTTTTATTGTCATTTATGGGCTTACTGTAAGTTAATGCTAGCTTTGAAAATTTTAAAATTACCCGAGTATTTCAAATTGGGTTTATCTTTCTGGCAGGTGTTTGGCTCTTGTTGGGTATCATCTGTTGTGTGGTAGTATGGTAAGTAGTTGGCTTCTGGGATATCATGCAGTTTTAATTGTAAGTGTTTGCCCTTTGGTCAGTATTGGATATAGAGAGTACGTGATACAACAGTGACAGCCCAGTAGGCGGCTACCGTATTCGAGCTCGTTGTACTATAGGGTATTATGATACTTATTTACAGGGTCCTTGTACTAGTAATTGGGCAGAGCGGCGTTCATTAGAACAGGCGGTAATTGCAGACTACTGTAATAGGCATTCCTGTAAACCGCTTTAGTCAAATGAAAATTGTTGAAATCAGCTTTTGCTGATGGTACCGTTTGAGGGTAATTATCGCTACCTTGTATAGTTGTATAGTTTTTTTTTGTATGATACTCCTATATTTAAATTAGGTATGATAGATATGGGCTTTACCACTACAACCAAATTGTGGTAAAGTGAAGGCCATAATAAGGAGGGGAAATGGTAATTCTGTCGGGTATGATTGCTGCTTTGATCTTCAATGCCATTCCTATAACAGTTATTAGTCACTGTTTTTGTGATTGATGTGATACTTCCTTGGTAAGAGATCTTTCCATGTTTTTTTCACCTTTTTATATTTCTTTACAGCATTGCATTCTCACCCCCTTGAGAGATGCCGTAAGAATTGCCGATGGTTATCAACCCTTCATAAACTCGACTCGTCCCAACACCCGATCCTATAAACCTCCAAACCGAATCATATCTCATGATGCCCGAAGCCCGCAGAGCGGCCAAAACTTCCCCCACTATCTGATATCGATCGATCGAGCCTATGGATAAACCGATAAGGACATCGGTGAGCCCTATCGGCTCAGCAGTCAAGCTCGCACAATCCAGCTCTATATAAGGGCGGCAGTTATCACCTCTTCTCTCCCTTCTCTCCCACATCTCCTCCTCAGCTTCTGATAACACCACGGAAGCATCTCTCTCAATTCGCCATATAACAAACTGTTTTGTGAACAAAAATCCTTAGCAATTAGTGTAAGGACCCTTCTAAGTTTAGTTGAGCTGAGCAGGACAACTAACCTTTTAGGATAAAAATGGGGAACGTTATATCCGGGGGAGCCTTCCAAAACAGGCGCTTGTTGAGATTTTATAGAGCTGAGAACGCCAACATGAGGCGGGAGAACGAAAACCTTCAGAACTTGATTGCCGGAATCTCTACGGCCTATGCACTCCAGAGTGCGGAGATCGATGATCTGAGGATGGAGGTAGCCAGCAACCAAGTTGCTGGTGAGCAATCTATCCCGTATATCGCTGGGGAAATCCCCAACGGACAGGTCGGGACGGAGAATTTGCTTTATATTCCTCAGGTCGAAGGGGGACCCCCCCCTGGACCTTCCGCCTCTCGCTACGAGTGTGATGAGGGACACAGACGTGTAGAAAGCCCTTTCTACGTGTCTCAGTTCGGCGGATCCGGTACCCCGTCTTTCGCATCCAGTAACGAGGATACCAAGGAACAGGAAGGTGCCGAGAACCTCTCCTGCGTTCCTCAGGTCGAAGGCGAAACTCCATCCGACACTGTTACCACCTGCAACGCGCAGACCGACGGTCCGGAGGAAACTCAGCAATCCATCGACGACGTGAACGGCGAATATGAGTCTGGAGAAGCCTAAACTGGGAGGGGGGATATTGAAAGGCTGATGAAGCAGAGGTGAAAGGGTGTTATTTCCGGAAATAGTTCCATCTGTATTCGTTCTGTATACTGTCGACAAGTTTCTTGCTGTTTTCATGTTTTTTATAACACACCTGTCGCTTTTCTTTTTCGGGTTTTCTTTTCTTTCTCATTCTTCTTATGGCTTCTTTTTTCATACACTGTTCTCTTTCTTTAAAACAAAAAAACATTGACCTGGGGTCCGGTACACTATCGTTCAAGGGGTTTAGTCTTTTTTTAGAGAGAGAGGGAGAGAGAGTTGGGGTTGGTATTGAGTTATCAGATTGAGATCTGGAAGTGACCTCTGTATTTGGAGAGTCAGGTGAGTGCATGGAGTGGATCGGATATGTTGTGTTTCTGAAGAAGGTATGCTGATTGTCTGGGATGTTAGGGATAGCTCATGGGTAAATAGAGCTGCTCGATTCCCAATTGTTTAATATGATTTCCATAGAAAACTCTTGAGGCTAAGGTTACCGGCCCCAGAGCCTTTCCGCTAACAGAAGGTGTTTGTGCAGATAAATGCGGTTACGATCCTGTCTTCTGATTCTGCAATCAATGGCTCCTGTAAGATTATCGTTTTCCTTACCAGACTTTTTTTTTTTTTTTCAAACCATATTTATTTTGGCGGACTAAAAAAATGTTTTAGCAATGCCACAATAGGAAAGATTGTTTAAAGGCTTACCCGAACTGCTCTACCATAATAATTAGATTGAACACCAGGTATGTTATGTTGTTGGAGTTACCTCTTTTGGTAAAGTCTTGTATTTTTTTTTTTCCGCTTGAAAAGCGGGTTTTAGCTACCTTTCTTTCACCCATTCCACAAAAAGAGGAATACCGTACCTTCTCGACGCGCTATCGGTATATTCGGATACTTGCTGCAACATTATGGCGCCGTAGGTTCTAATATCACTCTCTTGAAGCTATACTGAACCGGCCAGAAAGAGGAAGGGCTGTAATGACCTGCGGATTGTTTTATCGATGCGCCGTTTTTTTATTACTACAATAGAGAGGTAAGAAAAAGGCCCACCCTATACCAGCATGAATGTGATACTGTGAACTCACTATGTTAGCAGATACTGGTAAGGAAGAGGTCAGTACCACGCTCCTCAATAATAATAATAAAAAAGTCTGCCATCCGCCTTAATATACATTCCCAATCAGCTGTTAGAATTCATACACCTTTCAAGAAAGAATTACGCTTGCTAACTTACTTCCCATCACCTCCGAATGCTTCAACGCATACAGCCTTACAAGCGATAGCCATCAGTGGTACCTTCCTACCATCGGTATTAACCCTGCTGCATAGGAGAAGCCACCGCCGCGTTGCTACTGCCAGCCTCGCAGTATGATACTCCAGGAACAGACTCCACGCATGATATTGGGAAGTGCTGTGAATAATCACGTCTTCTCACTCGTCTAGTAGCTTTAATCTTTCCGCCGGAGGTCGCAATAGGATCGATCAACGGTCTGTATCTCCATCAGCACTGCAACCCAACTTCAGAGATGAGAGCTCCCGAGAAGGATTTGGGTTTTGCTCCGACTCGGTATAATAAACTCGGCCCCTCGGGGACGTATTGGGTCTCAACGATTGGAATTCGGTACTCTGTTAGCTTGTCAAACTAGGGCTATCCTGGAACCGATGGGTTGGTCCCCGCTGATGAATTGATAGTGGGTTACACCAGATTTTGCGGCACCGGGAGAACTCGAATGATTGATACCTGCGCTAGGACGCATGGAATTCTCTCCCGATACCGGACGGAAGCGTTGCGGGGACTGACTCCGTCGGGCCTAGCTTAATACGGGAGAGGGGGAAGAATAGGGTGGAGCCTTACCGGTACCGCGAACATGGCTCCAACGTCCTAGCGTGAGTACCAATCATTCGAGTTATGGTATGCGATCGATGGGATGAGGTACCGATAGTATCGGTAGACAGTGCTGGGGAGCTTGATATTAACGGGCGAGCAGCGAACGAGGATAAAGGGAATGGGTCAATTATTTATATATACAAGATGCCTCAAGCGAACTTAAAATTTATGATTTGTGCTCTGCACACACCTTTCTGAGAGACGACAAAGAACTGGGGAAGCTGAGAAAAAAAAAAGCTACAACAAAGAAAGAAGGGAAGCAGCAAAGACCGGGGAAGCGCATCTACAAATTATCCTAAACGAGACTCCGATGCGATGCGATGCATAGACCAGGCGGGATCCCTCGACGCCGTACGGTACAGTACACGCATGCGCCAAGAAATGCGTTTGGGACACCCCATTCTAGCCGATACTGGGCGTCAGGTATTTTGGTTCGTGATAGTGGCCGGTCCGCTACGGCCGCCCCAAAAAATCCTAGACCACAGGTGACGTAAATTTAAGCAACGGTCAAGAATTTTGAGTGATTAGTGGAGTGGAGGGAAGGTAATAAGAGGCGGTATCAGATCGCCTCTGAGGTCGTTAGACTAACCGGTGCTGAATGTCAGGCTGGAAAGGTTCAATACAAACTCGAATATGTGAGTTATGCCACATTCGGCCCCATTGTCATGGTAGCTTCGGGAATTGGCGAAATTTGATGAGCTGCCCGAGACTCTAGATAGGGGGCGTTGGCACCCACTGGAAACGCCAAGTCCGCCTGGGCGTCCGAGGGGTTGGGCTGGTCGAGTCTGAAGGGGAAGGCCTTATGGTAACTTGTGAGTCAGCTAGGCTCTGATTACCATACCATCGCAGTTCATTATAGAACATTCTATATATGTGGAGGAGGGGGCTGAAAATCTGGAAGGTCAATTCGAATTCGTTAGCTAGTATAACTCTTTACAGCGGGGAAATTTGTACGAGGAATTAGAACTACTGGGCCGTCCATTCATAGTAGTATCATTGTCTCTCCTCTAGAAAGGGTTCGTTATAACGGGGCGTGGCTGTATGGCACTTGGCTTCACCCACGATTAGGTTCATTGATATTAGTTTATTTTGTTTTTTATGGAGCTGTTTATCTGACATGAATTTGGTTTCATAAACTTCCATCTCACAATCCCCTTCTGCCTGAGCCGTAGTGCCGAAAACCTCCTCCATCCCTTGTTCCGCCGATCGCGCTACCCATTGCCGTTCTACCGTTCCTCTCAAGTCCGGATCAACAACTTTCCATTTTTCCACGGTTTTTTTCATGTTTTTTTTTATGGTTTTTTTTATTGTTTTTTTTTGATGTTTTTTTTTAATGGTTTTTTTATGGTTTTTTTTTATTTTTTATTATTTTTTATTATTTTTTTTATTGTTTTTTTTAATTTTTTAATTTTTATTATTATTTTTGTGTTTGTGTTTTTTTTATGGTTTCTGTTTTTTTATGCCCCCCAGCTTAGAGTTCCGGCTCTGCTGCTTTATGGGCTTGGAAATTACTCAACGGGGAATTTGCCCGGAGGAGCCAACAGCTCAGAGTAATTCTCTTCATCCCCTCTGGAAATCTAAATTCTGAGGTTCGACCTCTTCCTCATTGTCGGAGTGCCATTCGAAGGGTTCAGGGACTGGTGCTTCCTCCGCTCCGTGATCCTCGGACGGGTGTCTGCTGATTCCGAATACCGGTCGTTCTGCTTCTTTAGAGAACGGGCTACGGGGTTTAACCTCTTTCCCATCGTTATTGTAATGTTCCTCCCACTGGTTATCTTGGGTAAATGCCTCGAGTAATACGTTTATATATTGGGGATCAGGAGACCACTTCCTAGAGGGTGGGCTGGCGGTTTTGGCACCCTTTACTTCCCTGGTTCCTTTTCCGGAAGAACTAGATGCCGGGGCTTTCTCTTCATTCCAATCCCCACCTTTATGTTTGGCTGATTTAGATGCTGGGGAATTTCCCCTCTCTTCTATCGACTGTTCTTCAATCTCATCCTGATCCGTAAGTTTGGAGGATTCATATTCTGGCGCTTCATCCTCATCATCAGGGTCATCCTCTTCGTCGTCATACCAGGCTGGCTCTTCATCCTCTTCGCGCTTGTAACGGGAGTCCTCCTGATCTTCCCTATCTTCATCTTTCCTCTTCTTTTGGGCCATGTCCTGCAAAGACCTCTTCACTGCAATTTCCAAGTCTCGTTGATACTCTTTATCAGGCACACACTTGCGTAGTGCTTTATCCTCTTCACTCTCGTAATCGGAGTCCTCCTGATCTTCCCTATCTTCATATTTCCCCTTCTTTTGAGTTATATCATCCAAAGACCTCCTCATTGCAATTTTCAAGTCTCGATGGAACCGTTTTTCAGCCGCACTCTCGCGTGGTGCTTCATCCTCGTCATTAGGGCCGTCCACCTCATCTTCATACTCGACTGGCGTTTTGCCCTTTTCATCGTCGCCGTAGGCGTCCTCATCTTCACTGTCCTCGCCGCCAGCGGCTGTCTCGAGATGCCATGAAGCCGGTGAATTATTTGCAGCCAAATATTTACCCTCGTCTGGAGATTCCTCCTCCTCCTCTTCGCCTTCGTCTTGGTACTCATCTATCTCGTCCTGGGTATCATGCTCGAGCTGATTGGCCAAATACTGGGTATGCGTCTTCTTCTCCCAAGCGTAAGTATTAGCCTCCGGAAACTCCCCCAATGAGAGAGCCCTCCTCTTTGGAGTGGGGTTGAATTCTTCATCGTCATATTCAGTACGCTTCCTCTTGGGAGTTTGACTATTGTGCTTGAATGGGGACAAGGGTTTGGCGGAAGTCTCTCGATCCTGGGAGTAGGAAGCGGTAACTTTGGAGAGAGGGATGGAGTCCCCCACCTGCCCACCAGTCCTGAGCTTCTTGGGCTCAGGGAGGTTTTTGGGGTCGTATCCTGCCTCGCTCAAAAGTAGCTTGAGTTTCCAGATTTCGGATTCTTGCCTCTCCATCTCTCTTGCGCGCAACGTGTTGATCTCTCTGAGATCTTGGTTGCGACGCAAGAGAAACTCGAGGTGCCCGTCCTTATGGGCGTATAGTTTTTCGAGTTTCCTGCCGGCGCCGGGGGGAGCGAAGAATTGCTCCGGGAGTTTTTGTTTAGTGACTTGTTTGTTGGCTTTAGACATGCTGTGGAGGGGTGGGTGGGTGGTTAGCTGAATATAAGATTACATAGAGGAGAGAAAGGAAATTGCTTACATGTTTCTCACGGTGTTTAAAAGTAGTTGGGTTGTGGGGAGGTATCGCTGAGCCGTGGTGGTTGTTGTATTCGACCGTCAGAGAAGAGATAGCTGAGAGAGATTCTGTTCGTGTTGCTGGTGATACAGAGTGAGGAATGTAGTTGAGGAAGGGAGGGGGGTAGTGTCCTGGATGCGGATATATATACCTTCCCAGAAAAGGAGTTGATCCCGTGGATTCCATTCATTGGGAGCACTGAGCATGCCATTGGGCTTGATTCTTGGGGTATTAATAGGGATCGAGCCAGGGATCTCGTTACAAATTCCCTAGCTAATTGTCTTTGGCAGCTCGAACACAATGGCAACCCACCCGAATACACTGTACTGG